GGCGTGCGAAGGCGAGCATCACAAGAACGAAGTAGATGCGGATCACCCACAGAAGACAGATGAAGATGATGGACGGGAGACTCTCGGGCTGGAGGACGACATTGCTGAGATCTTCGGCCGCACGCGGGGGATGAGCGACGAAGTTGTTTCCGTCTTTTGTGTTCTGGATTTCGACGTAGGCCGCGTCGTACTTGGGGCTGGTGAAGCCAGCAGTCTGGGCGATCGTGTCGCCCCCTGGGCCCGCGGCTTTGCCACTGTCGTAATGTTGCGATACCACCAAGAACCAAGTCACACCAAAAGCGGCGGTATATGCGGCGTTAATCAGGCTGTCGAATACATAGAGGTAGGTGAGAGCGAGGCATTGTAGAGGCGACTGTTTGCGAATGTGTGGGAAGAGGAGTGCGGCGAGTCCAAGGGCAATGAGGGACCAAAGGTACATTGAGAGTTGTACAGGGGACAGGTGGTAACCGGTCAAAAGGGCCAGCAGGCCATAGAGGCCACTGATTTTATTCAAGAGCAGTGAAAGGGTGATCAATGAAGCACCAGTCTCTAAGCTCATCACATAGAGAAAGGACTTTTGACGAAATGAGTTAGCTCCGGGGGGGCAATGGATAAGATTCGATCTCGACTCACCTCTGGCCGCGGAATGCGGAAGAAACGGGAAGCGAACCCCATGAGTGTGTGTTAGGGCCACTGGCCAGGAATGTGCGTTATCGAGATGAAAATAGCGATGGAAATGTGGTTGGGTATATATACGGGCAAAGTAAGGGAAGAGGAAAAAGGCTGGGTGTATGGCACCGCAAATGGTCCAGGGGCGCCATTTCCCGGGCGATCCGCCCGCAGATCAATTTCCCAATTCCGGTTTGGATGTGATTTCACTTGCAACCTTGGAAGGGTCATTCAAGTCATGTTGTATTCAATTATTTGATGAACTCATATTTGATCAAAGATTGTATATCGTTCTTCTTCAATATATATATGTATATAGGTTGTATCTGGTCTGGTCAACAAAACTCTATGTGGCCTCGAAGGCAATGCCGTAACAGAAAACTACATTTTCATGCCCACCTGGGCAGGTGGCTTGCCCCCTTACGTTACTGATCATTTTATGCATTTATGTAAATTTATGTAAATTTATGAAAGTTGTATGCCTGAACTACCACTGTTGGTGCCTTGTATTCAAGGTATCAATATTCCGGGTTTGGTAACTAACTATGAGTCGGCTATATGCTGTCCAGTGTCTACTCTATCGGTCTTGCTATTTGAACTGTTTATACAAACATGAAATCAACCCCATTTTATTGAAAGGCTCTGGTTTGGCTGAATCTCTATGCAACATACCAAAGCCCTAACGTTGTATACTCTCAAATCGGCTTCATAGGTCATTGTATATATATACCTCGGGAAATATGAAGTTCACTCTTGGAAGAGGGGAAGCAAGTAAATGACCGACGTGCCCTACCCCATATTTGCCCCGCATATATATTTGAAGGTCAAACGTGGAGTTTGCATTAAGTCACTTTATTCATTCTATCATAACTGGTCTCGCGAGAATCTCCGCAATGACTATCTCATCCAGCCAAGGAACAAGAACTGATCGATTGGTCAAATGGGCCGCCGACCTGAAGTATAACGATATTCCTGATGATGTGGTCCAACGCACCAAGGATTTCTTCCTAGATACCCTGGGTTGTGCCATAGCCGGTAGTAACCACCCTGCTGTTTCTGCAATGGTGCGATTTGCGGCTCAAATGGGCCCGTCTAGTGGGAAGAGCGAACTAATTGATGGTTCCCAAACCCTCACCACTAGCCCGGCATTTGCTAGTCTGATCAATGCTGCTGCATCCCATGTGGTCGAACAGGATGATCTGCACAATCGAAGCATCATGCACCCAGTGAGTCTTGCCTGTGTTCTCATTGCGCTTGCGACCCACTATCTATACATCAAATATCGACAAACACAATGCTTATTTGACTATAGGCCACTGTAATTTTCCCAGCTGCTCTTGCAGTATCCCAAGATATTGGCGCAAGTGGAGAAGATTTCATCACTGCTTGCGTGGTTGGCTACGAAGTTGGTTGCCGCGTTGGAGAATATCTAGGGAAGAGCCATTACGAGGTAAGCTTCATTGGGATTTTATGAAAATCGCCATTTCAGCAACCCTGGTACTAGTCAGATGTTCCATGATTAACCTGTGCTATAGAAATTCCATACCACTGCGACAGGTGGAGTGATTGGAGTTGCAGCAGCTGTAGCCCACCTTCTGAAGCTTGATGCAAACCAGACATTATCAGCAGTCGGCACAGCTGGGACTCAAGCCGCAGGATTATGGCAGTTTTTGATGGATGCAACCCACTCAAAACAAGTACACACAGCAAAGGCTTGTTTCGACGGTATATTCGCTGCCTATTCTGCCCGTGATGGCCTTCTAGGCCCTCAAGATATCTTAGAAGGACCACGCGCAATGGGGGCTGCTCTTGTCCCCGGCGAAACAAACCCGGAGGCAATTGACCAGAACCTAGGCACAGATTTTGCCGTTGTTCGTTCAAGCTTCAAATGGCACGCATCTTGTCGACACACACATCCTAGCGTGGACGCACTGTTGAACCTAATGACTAAGAACAAGGTTGCTTTTGACGATATCGATTCTGTCCTTGTTCCCACATACCAGGCTGCTATTAACGTACTTAGCCTAAGTGGTAATGGCGACACAGTTCACCAGAGCAAGTTCTCAATGGGATTTGTACTAGCCATTGCGGCGAAGAAAGGCCAAGCTATGATAACCGATTTTACTGAAGCTGATCTGAGGGATGCCTCTCTTCGAGAATTCCAGAATCGAGTGAAGATGGAATACAATGCGGAGATCGATTCCCAGTTCCCAGAGAGGTGGCAAGGGACTGTTATTGTTACATGCAAGTCGGGGAAGTCTTTCACGGAATCAGTCACATTTGCAAAGGGAGACCCGGAACTTCCTTTGACAAGGTATGCTCTTCGTATTCCTAAGAGATGATATAATCATGTTCTGACAGACATCGCTAGATCTGAAATCGAGGCGAAAACCCACGCGCTTGCAAAATATGGCGGAATCACAGACACGAACAAGGTCGACTCCTTAATCAAGAGAGTGTGGAATTTGGAGCATGAGATGGATGTCAATGGGTTTGTCTTCTAAGACTTGGGTGGTATAATGGTGACGGATGAAGCAAATTATGGGCGACTTTTGGGAAGAATACTTGGGCGGGACATATATTTTAAGTATTTGAGTTAATGGGTATGATAGTGTCGAGTTCATATTTCATTGGCGCCGGCTATGCGGTGCGTTACCCAGAAGGGAAATGCCATATTATACAGCTTCATCAATTAAAGCATATCACGCATATCAGACATGTTAGCCCATGTTGTCAGAGCGATAATCAGAAGACCCCCCAAAGGAAGCCAAGCGAAGTAACTTCAACTGTCACAGAAAAGGAAAAAAAAAGTATGATGCTGGTTAAACGGAAATAAAAACACCTTGTCTCCTCCCAAGAGCTCGGAAAATAAACTGGATACAACCGCATTCGGCACAGAAAGATCTAGACACGCGCTATCGACTCAAGGAGCGAGAAAATAAAGAAGAAACATGTACATCTTCGAAAATTGTAGGATATCATGGACAGCCTCGATTCTCATCGAGGTAGGGCACCTAGGGACGGGAGAATGGATGCGGGGAATCTTAACAGGCGCAGCTGTCGTTGCTGGTCGTCTCCTTGGGATTGATATTGACGTCAATCACTGGGAGAAAGGTCATGGTCAGTATGAGAAGTCGGTGGGGTGAAACATGAGAATGAACATACTTGTGCTCTCGCCTTGCTTGGCCTCGCCTTCCATTCCAGGAAGAGCCTGGGCGATTCTCCTGAAAAGCTGCTTCACATTATGCCCGACCTTTGCGCTGGTCTCAATAAACATCAATCCGTTCTTCTTTGCCTCTTCCTCGCCCTGTGCGGTGGTGACTTCCCGCTTATCGTTCAAATCGGTCTTGTTGCCCACCAGCACAATAATCACGTCGTTCCCACGCTCTCCGCGTACATCATCAATCCATTTTCTTGTGTTTTGGAAAGATTTAGCATTCGAAATATCGTACACCACCACAGCAACGCTCGAGTCTCGGATGTAGGAAGGAATCAGGGAACGGAATCGTTCTTGGCCGGCGGTATCCCAAAGCTGAAGACGGACAGTCCGATCTTCAAGGTACATAGTCTGGATACTATGATTAGCCCTGATATTTGGAATAGATAGGTTCTCGGGGTAATGCCCAATGAATTGGGCCCCTTGTGCGGGGTATAATGTGACGTACCTTGGACAAAAAGTCGATGCCAATAGTTGCTTGGTATGTGTTGTCGAACGAGTCATACATAAACCTAGTGATCAATGATGTTTTGCCGACTGCAGTAACGTTAGATATCTTGTGGTAGCCTTTCATTGACCAGAGCGCATGTAGCAGAGGTATGGAGTGATGAGACGCTTACCGCTCTGTTCGCCTAGGAATACCAGCCTAAGTATACACATTAGCAATGTATTTCTAATTAAACACTGCGCCGTCTCAGTTCTTACTTGAACTTCTTCAAGGGGTTCGAATACGACCCAACCCCGGAGGCAGATGCCATTGTCACGGAGATGTTGATGCGGTTGAAATTCAGGGGTAGTAAAGCGGCGCAGAATGAGGCCAGCGGTTTGCGACTGGTTCAAAGACACGAGAACAAGGCAAATGAGAATATAGAAGGTTAAGACAAGTGTCTTCCCTTGAAAGAACAGTAAATCAGGAGGAAACAGGTGGTCCAACACGTCCGGGGAAGCATATCGCGAGGTCACCGCCCGAACGGAGCAGTTAATCCGCTCCGGCCACCGAGTCCCCCATCACCCGCTTCCATCCCAGAGCTTCAGCTACCTTATCGGCTGCGTTTTACGTCTGCGATCATCCTGACCTTTTAATTTATTCGTCATCAGGCTTATAGAGGTCGCCATGGCTTACCTCTACCCGGCCGGTGTCTCCACCACCGCTCTCATTGTGGTGGGATTGTGTACGTTTCAATGAATCCAAGGTGCGATCTGGCAGCTAATGAGAGGGTCTGGATTCTAGATTTGCTCTTCCACGGAGAGGGAGAAGCGTTCAATGTACGGAATTTACGCTAACAGCAAACGATTTGCTCGCAATGTTTACTAACCTGACACGTATTAGTTCGGCCGTTTCCTTGAGGAAGTTTCTCCTTATGCTTGGGCAAATATTGGAATCGCTTCGTGTATCGGCTTCTCAGTTGTCGGCGCAGCATGGTAAGCCGATCTCCGCTAACGTGATCCGACATCGCGATATTGACCGCATATTATCTTAGGGGTATCTTCCTGACCGGCTCATCGATTGTTGGTGGTGGTGTCCGAGCACCCCGTATTCGCACTAAGAACTTGATCTCCATTATTTTCTGTGAAGTTGTCGCTATCTACGGTGTCATCATGGCCATTGTCTTCTCCTCCAAGCTCAGCCCGGTACCCGAAGGCGGAATCCACACCTCTAGCAACTACTACACTGGATACGCAGTCTTCTGGGGAGGAATCACAGTTGGCGTCTGCAATCTTATTTGCGGTATCTCCGTTGGTATCAATGGAAGTGGTGCTGCCCTTGCCGATGCAGCCGACCCCAGCCTGTAGGTGGTCCTTGCGATATTGTTGATATGATATTTAGGGCTGTCACTTACACTGTTTTCTCTTTTAGATTCGTCAAGATTCTTGTCGTCGAGATTTTCAGCTCAGTCCTGGGTCTTTTCGGACTGATTGTTGGTCTTCTCGTGGCCCAAAAGGCGTCGGTTTTGGAGGCGGCCTGAAATTGAGCTTTCCGCTGAGAGAGAAGAGCTTCAAATTTGGGCGGCAAACAGATATCGGGCACTCGAAACATATGCTCCAGGCGATCCGCTTCGCCTATTTATTCTCGTTTTCATAGTTCATGTTCATGTTTCGATATACACCGCATTGGGGCGTCTGGGGTCGACCACGTAGAGCCATTTTGGTTTTGCCGAATTGCATCAATGATCCGGGATCATATGTATCAGATTTGAGGCCGCGTGAGCTAGTTCTAGCTTGTTACACTAGGGATGTGAACGAATATTTGTAGAAACTATCAGATGAAATTACTTTGACCTATATTTAAATGTAGGCACTCAATGTAGTCTCTATTTAGCCTGGCTTTTAGACAATCTGAAGTATACATGAAAGCCTGTTATTCAAAATTAATATAAAGCCAATCTAATGTAGTTAGATGTATTCTATGGTTCCCAATCTAATTGGGTTGAATTGATTGAGGTTGCATTCAAACCGGGTTTTCGAGGCTGGGCCTACAAGGACCTCGGGATAATTCGTATTAAGTGAATAGGGAACATCTGGACAAGAGGCTGTCCTTTCAAAAATGGCTACGATTTGCACATACGAGAAGCAGCATTGACACTAATTTCAATTCACCAATTGTATGCAGTAAACACTAATTTACGTCGGAGTCTGGCGATAGTCCGATGGTTTTCCCCTTGACAGAACTTCCCCCACCAAAACATCCACTTCCCCAGACTTCTATGCACAACGCACATCATGGAGACCAAACTAAAAGTCGCAATCCTGGTTGTCTCAGACACTGCCTCGAAAGACCCCGCTTCTGACAAGGTTGTCGATGCACTTACGCCTATCTTGGCCGCAGAGGGGAAGTGGGAACCCCCCGCATTCAGGATCGTCCCGGACAGCGTGTTGGAGATCCAGCAATCCATATACGACTGGGCCGATAGCCCTAATTGGTATAACCTCATCCTCCTTAGTGGAGGAACAGGATTTGCTATCAAGGACAACACCCCTGAAGTTTGTGATTCTGATCTGCCTGACCTTGCCCTTATGCTCATGACATCACTAGGCCGTGTCCCCTCTAATCCAACGCCATGCGCCGGGACTAGTGTGAGTTGGATACCCTGGCTGCCGCATTGACGCTAGTAAACTAACCAAGACTTCAAGACACGGCATGATTGCTGCCTCCTTGAAAGTAACACCCTGTGAGCATGACATCAGGGGCGCTGCCATGGCGCTTCTCTTTGACTATATTTACTTCAGCTAATCCCCCGCGCAGTTGCAATGATGGCCAGACCAGTTGCTGGTGTCCGTAATAAGACTTTAATTATTACCTTGCCCGGTTCACCCAAAGGAGCCATGGAGAACCTCGACGCTGTTGTTAAACTTCTTCCACATGCCTGCCTACAGTCTGCCGGGGCCAATTCACGGGACCTTCATTCTGGAGGTGTGAAAAAGCTGGAGTCAGAGGCCGGTGTCGCTGATCAGAAACATCATCACCACCATAATCACCACCATCATTGTCATGACCATGGACATGGACATAAGGCCCCAAAAGCGCACACATCGCCGTCAGAGAGACCACAGTCCAACGACCCTAGCGCGGGCCCTAACCGGCGCTATCGCTCCTCACCCTACCCAATGCTGTCTGTAGATGAAGCTCTTCGGCGGATCAATGAGCAAACTCCCGAGCCAGAAGTCGTTGAGGTCCCAGTTACCACGTCCTTGATTGGCTCGGTGATCGCCGAAGACGTTTATGCTGCAGAGGCCGTGCCAGCGTATCGAGCTAGTATCGTGGATGGCTACGCTATCATTGCACCAGAATCTAGTGCTGCCGGCCAGTCAACGAAGGGGATATTCCCTGTAGCATCCGTCACCCATGCCAATGTCGGCGGGAATCTAGAGCCATTGCAGCCGGGGACCATCGCTAGAATTACCACTGGCGCCCCTCTCCCCCAAATGCGAATGCCGTAGTCATGGTCGAGGATACAACCTTGGATTCGTGCACACCTGACGGCAAAGAAGAAGCGACAGTCGAAATTCTCGCCGAGGATATTGAGCCGGGCGAGAATGTGCGCGAACCTGGCAGCGATGTCACACTAGGCTCCAAAATCGTCGCCCGCGGGGACCTAATATCTCCCGTCGGCGGAGAGATTGGTTTACTGGCATCGACCGGCACCAAGACTGTCAAAGTCTTCCGGAAACCACGCGTAGGTGTTTTAAGTACCGGCGACGAGCTCGTCGAGCACAATGACCCACGAACTCTGACAGGCGGCCAAATCCGCGATTCCAACCGCCCATCTCTCCTCTCATGTCTGAACTCATGGGGCTTCGAAACTGTCGACCTCGGCATCGCTCGCGACACACCTGCCAGCGAGCTCGAGCATGCCCTCCGCGACTCTCTCCGCGGCGTAGGCCGAGCCTCCGCTAGCGTTGACGTGATAATCACAACCGGCGGCGTCTCAATGGGCGAGCTCGACCTCCTCAAGCCAACAATCGAGCGGTCACTCGGCGGCACCATCCACTTCGGCCGCGTTGCCATGAAACCTGGCAAACCAACAACCTTCGCAACCGTCCCTTTCAAACCAACCGGCGACGCCACATCCTCCCAGCAGGAGCGCCAATCAAAACTCATCTTCTCGCTCCCCGGAAACCCGGCCTCCGCCCTCGTCACTCTCAACCTGTTTGTTCTCCCCTCACTGCACAAGCTCGCCGGTCTGGGCCACAGCTCCCAGGCACTTAGCTCTAAGCCTTGGCTCGCACCGCAGCTTGGTCTTCCGCGCGTCGCTGTCGTCCTGACGCATCACTTCCCGCTTGACCCCAAGCGCACGGAGTACCATCGTGCTGTGGTGACAGCGTCGCGCTCGGATGGTCGGTTGTACGCGACAAGCACGGGGGTTGAGGGTGCTGGACAGCGGTCTTCGAAAGTTGGTAGTTTGGCCAAAGCAAATGCATTGGTGGTGCTGCGGGCTGGACGGGGAGTTGGTATCAAGGGTGAAATTGTGGAGGCTTTGTTGATGGGGGATGTTCATGGCTCGGACACTCGGGTAATTTGCTAGAGATGTGACACGATATATGATTTACTGCCATACGGAGACTGAATCTCCTGAAAACTGCTTGTATTTTGGGTTCTTATCTATCTCTAAACTTTGTATACTTCTTACATTTTGATTTTGTCTTCACATTTTTTCGAACCTCCTTTTGTATAGACGATACACGGTCAACAGCTGTAAGTCTCCACTTTTGATGAGGATGCAAATACATTGTTGTTTTTATATGGGACAATTCAAGGTTTATATTTGTATGCGCATATTAAAATCACGCAAGGTGCCCGAGGTACCTATTCTATCTGCAGCTGGATAGAGAACAACATCAACATCGAAGCTACGGTAAGGTACATAGATAGCCCCAAAATGAAATCATCCCTTTGAGTATTTCCATCCTTTCTTCTTCTCAGACCGGAAAGCAGGCAGCGTCCCTTCTCTCCCCTGCTTTCTCGCAATCTCCACAACCAAGAACCGCACAAAGTCACCCAGTGTCCAGTAACTGCTATGTGCGCTCAGCATATTGAGGTACTGGATATTCAACGGGCCGCCGCCACCCGAGAGATAATAATCAATTTGACCGTTGTCGTTCAGCAGAAGCATGCGTTTTTCAGCGATCTCTTCGCGAGTAAAGTCGTGGGTCTCGAGCTCGACATTGGATGGGAGCTTGGAGATTGCTGCGGGGCGGGTAGGGGCGGTCGAGGGCAATAACGCTGACGGGGTTGAGCTCCAGCGGAAGACGCTTCCAAAGGATTGCCAAAAGGTCGAGCTGGAGCTGGGGATAGAGCCCATTTTGAGGGAGTTAGAGAGGTCTGAGTCTACCGCTGCATTGACTCGGTACGCAATTGCTGGTAGGAATTGTTAGTATTAGAGATAAATAGGATGCGAAAAACGGCTAGGGAGGTTATGTAATCCACTTACGATCAGTTGTGTGCATGATATTGTAGAGATTGTCTACGGCAAGACATCCATATTGACCCGCTTCACCGGCAACGCCGCGAAGTAGATCGTCACCTTCGCTGCCTGGCTTGTCCCGGCCTTTTCGGGGGAGAAGACTAGCTGCAAGGATGTTAGATACAAAACAGAATGATGTAGGTTTCAAACGTACCCTTATTGAGAAACAAAAAGAAGCCGACTGGACTTCCGCATAGGAATAGATGTCTAGTATCAAACTCAAAAATGTCACTGTGTAACGCCGTATTGGCAAAGTCAAACCGAGGAACATGGGTTGGTTGGTGGCTGAGAATGTCTACAGCCATAACGCTTCCGAGAGAATGAGCGATGAGATGTACACGACCGTGGTTTTGGAACCCTGGGTTGTTTTTACACCAGAGGCGATACACACGGTTCGCTTCTCTAACCACCGCCTTGACCATCTTCGGTTTGTGGTGTGACAGATAGTAAGGGATGTCAAGCATCACATCGCTGATCAGGGATCGGATAGCGGGAAGAGTCTGGGGGGTGATATCTGCAAGAGAAAAATTGTTGCTAGCTGGGTCTTCGATACCAGACTCAACATCGGGGTCATCCAATGACAAATTCGTACGCCAATTCACAGGAAGAACCATGATTCCCCCATGATCCTGGCGCACATGCGGCCAGACAGGTTCGTTATTAAGCTCCATGTTCACTTCGCGCCGAAACGCATTGATGGCATGAGTGAAATGGAAGCTCTCCATCCTCTCCGATAACTTTTGCCCGATCCCGTGGACAACGAGAACCAAGTCCGTTGGAGGTGGTCGCGATTCTTCCATCTTGCATGCATAGCATATTTGTTCACCTCGCGCAGAAGGACTTTTCGACTGGGTTTTGCGGATGTAATGGCGTACATCGATAGGATTGGGCTTTGATGGGTGCAGTTGTTCCCACAATTTTCGACTAAACCCGCGAACTACAGGTATTCCTATCTGACGGCCTTTCCTTATTGCACCAAGAGGCCGTCGTCCCCTCGATACTGAGGGAAGTAAGCTGGGCCGAAGTACTTGGGCATTTATTGCATCGACGTAGATGGCACTGGATGTGAGGTATGACTTGATACTCTCAGATTGGATAGATGTGCCGCCAGCAGCTCGATTTTCGTCGAATATCAATGGATCCTCAGCCTCACCCAGAGGCGAATCATTACTCTCTGGCGCTTGTGCAGTTGTAGGTTGGCTGTCTTGTTTTGTCCATAGCGGATGAACAATTTTCAACTCGGCATCAGCCCCGTTTTCCACACAACTATTCAGCTCATCTTGCCAAGTGTCGCTCCATGGCTTCAAGTAAACGTAGCCTTCCTCCAATTTGTTCGCAAGCTCAGTCTCAACGGGTAACATGGTATTCTTGTAGAACCAAGTAGCCCGGATCACGCTTGATATATCCTGAAGAGGGCTCCAGTAGATAGGTTTCATCTATGAAAAGCGTTATTACGATTCAGAGCTGAGCAGAGAAAGTGTATTCACCTTGAGATTCGGTAGCTCGACTAGATGAAGCCGTGAAACACCGACTGGAATCTTTGACTGTGCGTTTGCCTCCTCTGTTCTCTCTCTCTGTGAGTCCTGGGTCAACTGATCTATGCTCACCGTCGCTCTGAGGCCCGAAGGTTTCGGGGCACTTCGAGAAACAGTATTGGTTCTGAGTTCTGCCTGCCATTCGCCTCCTTCCCTTGAAGAAGACGACTCAAATGAGCGACCAAGCGGTGTCTGAGGCTGAGACGTTGGCGCACGTATAAAAGGAGAGCCACTAATGCTTGCATCGTGAGAACGATCAGCTCGGAAACTTCCAATCTCCTCGCCGACTTCACCCACGTTCTCGGCCTCTGATGGAGAACTGCTTCTTCCTTTGGCTGCACTGGACTCATTGACTGAAGACGAACGCTCTATTTTCTGATCGATGGCGATTCCTCTCGGAGTATCGTGTTTGAACCCATCACCCAGTGAAGAGCCTACGCGATTTTCATTGCCGGGGTCATGCGTTCGTATTTCAGCACTGCCGGTAGCAAAAGCGATGTGACTCTTGTGACTGCGAGAGGGTAGGTCGTCAGGGAACGACTGCAAATTGCTCAGAGTGCTTCCTCTACTGCCAACCAATGAGGGATCGTCCTGGTTGGCTGGTATGCGGCGTTCGACATTTGAGATCGATTCATGACCGGGTACAGCTATCCCAGGAGGCCCTGTCGATGTATTTGGCCTAGATCTGTGATTCCCCGCCAGTTTGGCCTTTCTCGCTTCTCGTAAATCATGCCAAGCTTCCTCTAAGGCGATGTTATCCCTGGCCGAGAATGGCGTGGGAGGAAGTCTCTCATTCCCGGTCCCCTGGCTTGCAGGTGGAGGCAGAGGAGCCAGTGGATCATCGATCGGCAATGATGAAATATAGAAGAATTGTGACCGGATCTCTGGTGGTGATGGAAGCGATTGAAATCTGGTGAGGTCCTGGTCTTCATCCACAAGCAGGCAACTCGGACCGTAGGTGTGGATCGGGCCCGCCATTCGGATATTTGTACGGAGCTGGACCCCCTGTGTTTGAGCTGGTATTGATCTCCACCCCCTAAAATGGAGGCTAAAGGCGGGATGTATCGACGGTCATTGGGGGCCGGACTGCTACGGCCCACAACACTTTATGTCGGAAACACCCACACGGAGGTTATGATGATTTACAAGAGGTGGTTCAAGAACTTTGTCACAGGCAGAGCGGTGACTGCCACCCGTGATCCTCTAAGCCGATGACGTCGCCCCACGTGTTTTGTGTACAACTTCACTTTTCAGCTCAGTTGACCTCCAGGGCTGTTATGTTGTACAATATACATGCATGTTAAATTGATATTGTTTTCGAAAATTAATTCAATAATTGACAAATGCCAAGGGATATTTACGTGACCTGAAATATCAGGCAACATACTACATAATTAATTAGTTTAATGTCTGATGGTTGCCCAACACATCATAGATGCATTAACTCGTGCTAAATGGTACTATCTGAGTATCCATGTCCAGTAGTCATGGTGATGACAAGTGGTCGACTTATGACCATGACTTTTGGCTTGGGGGGAGTAAAACAAAAACTACATAACTGATTCCTTCAGACAAGCTTTTACGCCTTTCAATATCCCTAAGTTGTATATTTGACAAAACTGCTCTGCGTTGCCAATAATTGAAGAATTGTCAGTCATTCGTACATCTTGAAAGGATACAGCTAAAAAAATTTTTTGGGGAATCTTTAGGTCTTGAAGTGTGGGAGGTGCGATCGAGCACATCAGTCGTCATGTTAGCTTTATTAGGCGACCTGGACGCGTAGGGAATTCAGATAGCCATGGACATATTGTGAGACAAAAATAAGCTATCATCGAAGCTTCGATTTGGACAGCGCCATGTGGAGCTCTCTTAAAGATCACCACTACAACTCATTGCATTGCTATGATGTTAGCTGAAAAATTTGCTGTTTTGATTAGAAGAGGCAATTCAACTTGTCACTATAGGGGAGGGAAATTCTCAAATGGTATTTTACTATCCGATCGCAATGACTAGTGACCTTCTCTTCTACGTTAGTTTATTTTTTGATACTGCCGATGCATTGCATGCCTTTGGCCCCAAGTTTCATCAAAATGGATTGTAAAAGAGAGCGATAATGTGTGGGATTGAATTATGCTGAATGTTGATTTCGTCTAGCAGATTCCACTTTAGTCAAGCCGTCGTATCTTTAGGACTAGAAGATCCAATCTCATATACCTGATTAGTTGATGTTACTGTTTGATTACCCGATCATCCAATTTCATGCAGTTTATTGGGATTCATAGGCATTGGAGCGTATGATGCTCTCAGCGGTGCGCCAATTGACGGTGTACTCTTGTTGATAGAAGTAGTAGTAGCCGCTGCATGAATGTTAGAAGGGGTTAAGATGAGGATTTAGTATGACAATACACCATTGCACATGATATTCCACCTAGGTCCGTGTACAGAACACATAGCAATGTATCTTAAATGCTTACTTTCAGTTGATCTACTAGGAAATGCAAAGGATTTATTTGGGATGAGCTGGATTTGGAGTATGCTAGACTGAACTAGTCGACCAACTCATCGCTGGTGAAAATACGCATAAAAAGACAGAAACAGAATAGCAAACGTGAAACCGAAAACAGCAGAAAGCCAAGCTGATATCGATCAAGCCCTAGAAAGGAAAGGAACAGTCGAAACAGAATAGCAAATCGCAAAAGGCAAAAAAGGAGAGAAGAAACAAAAAAAGCAGAAATTGAAACCGGCAAAATGCGAACTGATGACGGCGAAGTCCCTAGAAAAAGAAACTGCCGAGACACAGAATAGCAAAATGCGAAAAACGAAAGCGAGACAAGAATTGTTGAAGAGAAAAAATAATCGAACATGAGTCAGGTTCAAATGAATAAAGAAAAAGTTAAAAGCGAGAGTTTCCAGAGTTCTGAGTGTCTCGGTAGTGCTGCATCACCTCGCGCTTCTCCAGCTCTCCACGAACATGCGCATCGAGGGCCATAATGAGCTCAATGTGGCATTTGTCAGCCTTCAGAAGCCGCAAGAGATCCAGGATATCGTGGATGTCCTTCTTGACAACTGAATCGGGGGCCACAAAGGTGCGGATGTTCATGTGCTTACAGATCTTCTTCCAGTTGCTCAGAACGGTGGTTGGACCAAGGTTGTTGTTGGTGTCACCGAACTTGAGATGATTGCGGTTTGCGCTGATCAGCTTGTACTGGGTAAATTGGTCGAAACGGAATTGAGGGACACCAGGCATGTTTTTCCTCTCCCATCGTCTCTTCAACTTGCTGAGAGAACTAGTGGTAAGGTGGCCTTCGTAATACTCCTTCATCAGGAATTCATTGGCTGCTTGGGTGATCATGTTCTCAATCTCGGCGTACAGGATTGACTGCACATCAGTGTTTAGAGTAATGGTTGCAGTGTTCTCGGTGACGATGCTGGGCTTGGATGAGTTGATCAAAGCTCGATTCCCATCCCAAAGCTGTCAAAACAATCGTTAGTCACTATAAAAATCTTCAAAAGTCAAGCCACGAAACACTTACCATTCCCTTGATGGTTGAATGTCCCTTTTTGACGGCCCCTTTCAGAAAGCGGAATCTCTTGCTGCGTGGCTCCTCGTTGTCTTCAAGGTATCCGTTCTTACCAAAGAGGTTCTTGGTAAATCGCTTGCGCTTGCCACGAGAACCCTCGGAACCCTCAGAACTGTAGGCATCAGGACTTTCCGTAATACGACTCAGAGTTGCATTGCCGGAGGTGTTGTTGACGTTGGACTCGCTATTGATGAAGGAAGCTGCGCGGCTATGTTCACCATTGGTAGACTCGGAAACATGAATGGCTGTCTGATGCCGGGAAACGTCGTGGATGGGGACATCCATGGTGAATGTGGGATTCTTAGTCACATCCAATTTCTGTGGGACAAGAGAATGCTCGTCATTATCCATGTTGGTTCTCTCCTCGCTCAACCATCTTGGATAGCTGACAGGAGATGAAACATAGTCTGGGCGGAAATGAACCCGCGTAAGCCGGGGATCGAGGGGGATATTAGATGGATAAATTCCAACCCGAGGGGTACCGGTATAGGAAAGTCTGGGGAGACCATTTGGACGACGCTCAGGAGATGGGGGAGCTGGAGCTGGAGATATGGGTGAATCCAGTAGAGGCGAATCGGGCGTAGTGTAGTCCCGAGCATACATTTGTTCAAGGGGTACAACAATGCCAGTGTCAATCCCGTCGAATGTGTCCTGACGCCAAGTGATATCTCCTTGGAGGGAAGCGGCCTGTGGGGCAGACAAATGCAACACAGGTGGCTCTTGTAGTGGTACATTGGAAGCAGAACATTCCTGATGGAACTGGGGCTCAACAGACAGTGTAGTTTCAGGTTCAAATTCAGATTCAGATTCAGAGTCAGATGCAGATTCGGATTCAGAGTCAGTCCAGTAGCAACATCCTTTGGCACAAGGGTATGGGGCATAAAACGGAGACGGCCCAGGCGTTGTAGGTGTAGCTTCGCGGGTGGCCCCAGAATTCACAAATAAAGGGCTTGAATTAGGGTGAGCGAGACTGTAAGCAGAGTATGAAATTCTTGGGTTGGGGCAAGGACCAAGAGTTGGGGACCAAACAGGCGTTCTTGGTGTCACTTCGCGAATGGTGCCGGGGCCCGCAAATAAAGGAGTCTTAGAATCTTGAATGAAGGAGTCACGGGCCTGGAAGCCAGGACCAGAGGGTTGGTCCGCATGGTAGATATCCACAGACGCCGAATTGGGGGGAGCGAAACGGTAAGCAGAATCTGAACTTCCTGGGTTGCGATTTTCACTTGCAAGGCGATAGTTTTCCTTTGCCTGGTTGATCAAAGCAATCAGTTCCTCCAAGGTTGCGCCCACTTCGGTGACTTGATTTTCCTGCTTGATGTCGGGGACTGGAGTATTGCTGGGCACCACTGCAATCTGAGCATCTGGAGATGATTCGTGGCGAGTGGGTGGGGCTTCGTACCACGAGGTTAGACTATAACCATCGTGATGGGGTCGTGAATTGGCTTGAGCATAAGGGGCATCAAATGCAGGAGCGGCACATGGAGCGGCATGATCCAAGCGATGGAAATCAGAAGAATGACTGGTGTGGGAGGCCTGCGCGTTGTAGTGATGATGCAAAAAGGGCGGCAGGGCCGGCTCAGATACTTTGGGCTGAATTGATGGAGTCTCATCGTCGTATCCTTGAACCTTGCATTCCTCGAGAAGCAAATTCAAATTCATCTTTTCACTCGAGTGGACAGACCCATCAACAGCTGCCTTCTGGCCAACTTCGGTAGCAGACTGAGAATCTTCTTGCTGGGCAAATGAGGGTTCGTGGTGGCCTTGCATGTTGGATCTGTCAAGCACATAGTAAATGCTCATCTTGTTGATGATGGGGCCAGAACATTGGAGAACACCCTCCTGACCAACTGTGGTGGCCGGCTGAGGTTCTTCCTGTTGAGGAATTGGTGGCAAAGGCTTGGTAGATCTGTTCATCATATTAGATCTCATGTTCGGCATGTTCAGGTAAGGAAGGCTCTTACACATCATTCTTGGTCACAGGAGTTCCATTGCGACGAGCTGCACCGCGTTCCGCAATATCACGAAGGCCTTCAGCCATGCTGGGGCCTCGATCTGCGAAGGCACGTTGACTCCTGTTGCGACTCCTCTTTGCGGTCTGAGGAATAACATGTGGATGCTGTCGAAGCCATTGCTGGCGTTCCTCTTCGTAGAGGATCGATCGCTCGCCTTCCCGATTAATGGTGCTGAGTATTGCCCAGGGACGAACTGGTGGATATTGAGACATTGTTGCGTTTACGATTTCAATTTGAGATATTGTTCGAAGGCAAATTTGCAATTGCAGAAAAAATAAACGTTGAAGTATGAGAAATAGAAGCGTAAAAGGTATGAAGAAGTATGGGAAGCAAGAGGGAAAAGGGTTGGAAGAAGAGGATAGTTATACATTGCTGTTGGGGAAACCAAGGGCTACAATGTGTCTCGCTACAATAGCCATTTAATTGTTATTGATAACTGCCGAATAAAGCATAGTAGAAAAGTCGAGGGCATTGTTGAGACTGAAAAGAGTATTCTGGGACCATGTGGTCTGCAACAATAGGATTAGTCCAATAATGTGGCTGGTAATTTCTTAAAGATAATGGGAACAAAGAAGGTGGGAACAAAGAAAATGGAAAATCGGACTATTGGAACAAAGAAAATACTGGGAACAAACAATGAACAAACGGAGAATAGAATAATTCATTATTCCTAATCAAGGAGGTTGTTGATAGGCCAATCAAACGTCCATTTACCACATGATCCTAGTAGTACTCGTGGATGTGTCAACTCTAAAAAGACGACGTGATGTGACAGCACATGCTTCATAATACGGGGTTTACGCTGGACATATTGCAATAATACAAATGATTAATACCCATCCACCACACCTCTGAGAACCATTACAAAAGAAAGCATAGCATCACCTCTAATATGTGAGCCCAGGGTCATTACAATGCATCTTACGTGTTATCACCACCTACCACACGAATAGTAAGGAAATTGCAAAATCTCGCAAACCCTTCTCACATACTCACCCATGTACATACCTGTTGACTTATTGCCTACAAGAGATATAAAGGAAAATCCAATTGCCAAAATACCACTTATTATACATAGATCACACATAGATATTATATATTTAGTCCTGATATGTTTCCATTTGAGCAGGTGGTTTATGGGTATAGTTCGGAGCGGTACAACTTGTACCCGTCCCACCCTCTTTCGTCCTTGTTGCCTCAGGTGTCAATATTTTCATACTACACCTGCAACTATATCAAGAGCTCTAAGATTGAACTGTTGGGAAGCCTGGCAAATTTCAACTAAGAAAACGCGGCTCATTAATATCGCTACGTTGGTTATATTACCGTATAATCAGAGTCGAACCATCTGAGTACTACTGTTATGACTGTCCACGTAGCAATGCTTCTTGAGATTTCTTTTTTCCCCCAAAGGAGGGGTGGATCCGATTCATTTGCCATGGACCAGACCGAGAAATTCACACTAGAGTAGGTGCTAGACCTCATGGATATTTCCTCTAGAGCATGGCACGGAATTTCGGGATACCCGCAGCGCAAGTACCAGGTTAAACTACCATGACGACACGGGACCTAGCTCGGTGGAGAAGGCGGCAGGACTTCAGTAAACTCGGTAGAACGGAAACACCTTGGGATGGAAAATATTGAGCATGTAGCCAATAATATTGGAGGTGGTAGTCTGCTAGTCAGTTCTATGTTTAGATGGATTAGGCAATTTTTCCCCTAAGGATAGCAGTAATGGTAGTACAGTTACGAAGCACCTATGAGTGTCCGGAGATATAGATCCCGAGCAGGGTTACCGAAGGGGGATCACGTGCCCATCCGTCCGCTTACCGAGATCGTTTCCGGGTGGAGCAGAGGAAAAGAGGAGCAACCCAGTCACACTGGAGCCCTACGGCTGTAAGCTCGGGATCAACGACGGTATTGTGGGCTTTGTGCAAAGCCAGTCCTACCCCCCACACAGCGCTTGCTTCTTCGATGACAAATCGTCCATAACTCCATTTTTGGCGAATCTGATTGGCTACCCCAACCCTCGAACCGGTGCTCCCCACGATTCCGCCGACTCTGAATGCCGTGGATGTTCTCCGTTGCTTCAGTTCAACGCCCAATCTGTCCGCTTACCCCAGTTCCCGGACAGTATATAGAGACAGCCATGGCCCTCATTAATTTTCTTTCGGCCATCGTGCAGGGTGACACTCTGATCTATTCTGCTTTACTTTCAAGTCATACGTCCAATTATTTACGCTGATTATTTCACCATTCTCCATACTATTCATACCCCTCCCACCCAACTTTGATCCCCGTGTTTGCTTTTGGCAGCGAGCATGGTCCAACAAGAGAATTATGACATTGTCATTGTGGGCGCCGGCCCCGTCGGTCTGCTCTTGTCCCTGTGTATGTCACGATGGGGTTACAAGGTGAAGCACATCGACAACCGCCCAGTGCCGACCGCTACTGGTCGCGCCGACGGTATCCAGCCGCGATCTACCGAGATCCTGCGCAACCTTGATTTGAAGCGCTCGATCATGGCTTACGAGCCTGCTAAGGTCTATGACGTAGCCTTCTGGGACCCCAAGGGTGACGGCTCTGGCATCGGCCGCACTGGCAGCTGGCCTAGCTGCCCCCGTTTCATTGACACCCGTTACCCTTTCACCACCCTCGTCCACCAGGGCAAGATCGAGCGCGTGTTCTTGGATGAAATTAAGAAGGCCGGCACAACTGTCGAGCGGCCATGGACCATCGTTGGATTCAAGAACGATGGCGCGAACCCTGATTACCCTGTTGAGGTCAACCTGAAGTGCCTGGATACCAACGTCATCGAGAATGTACGCGCCAAGTACTTGTTCAGTGGCGAGGGTGCTCGCAGCTTCGTTCGTGAGCAGCTTGGTATCAAGATCCACCACAAGGATCCTATTGCCTATGTCTGGGGTGTCATGGACGGTGTCGTGCGCACCAACTTCCCCGATATTGAGGTAAGCATGGCTGAAAAGAACTATTCTCACGTGTTTTTCTAACGCATCGAAATTTAGACAAAATGCACCATCCACTCCGACGCTGGCTCAATCATGGTCATTCCCCGCGAGGACAACATGGTCCGCCTCTATGTCCAGATTGCCTCCTCCACCGATGCCGATTGGAACCCACGAAAGACTGCCACCGCGGAAGAAGTCCAGCAGACCGCGAAGAACATTCTGAAGCCATACTGGATCGAGTGGGACCGGGTTGAGTGGTACTCTGTTTACCCCATTGGACAAGGTATCGCTGAAAAGTACACCCTTGACGAGCGAGTCTTCATGGGTGGTGATGCTTGCCACACTCACAGCGTAAGTAATCCCTTTTGAAATCCCTGATATTCTAGAACTATCGCTAACACCCCTAAAGCCCAAGGCTGGCCAGGGCATGAACACTGCTTTCCATGATGCACTCAACATGGCCTGGAAGATCCACGCCGTAGAGAGTGGCTTTGCCAACCGTTCTATTCTTAGCACCTACGAGAGCGAGCGCAAGGATATCGCTGAGACCTTGTTGAACTTTGATGCCAAGTACGCAGCCCTCTTCTCCAAGCGCCGTCCTTCTGCTGGCGAGGTTGGTTCTGCCAGCCACACCACCGTGGGTGCCGGTGGGGAGGAGGACGAATTCGTCAAGACTTTCAAGTCATCTTGCGAGTTCACCAGTGGATACGGAGTGGCCTACCAGCCCAACATTTTCACCTGGGACGCGAGCCACCCTGCCAAGTCCGCTTTGTTCAATGTTCCCGGCGTTCATCTGACTCCGGGTCGCGCTTTCACCCCGACCACCGTCACCCGTCTTGCAGATTCCAACTTTGTCGAGCTCGAGCAGGAAGTGCCCGCTAACGGTGCATTCCGCATCTTCGTCTTCGCTGGCAACCAGTCCAAGACCAAGAAGGCCATTACTGACCTTGGTGCCAACCTAGAGAAGGAGCGCTCGTTCCTCTCGGTGTACCGCCGGTCTGACATTGCCGATGTGTCATTCTTCGAGCGCCACAACCCTCACTCCAAGCTCTTCACCCTGTCTGTGATTTACGCAGGCTCCAAGAACACCATCGATGTAGACTCCATCCCCCAGGTCCTGCGCGACTACCACCACCACCTCTATGCGGATGATATCCCCGATGTGCGTGTTCCTCAGGCTCAATTTGCGGCCCACGAGAAGCTAGGCTTTGATGCTGAGAAGGGTGGTGTTGTTGTGACCCGCCCCGACAGCCACGTTGCTTGCACCGTACAGCTGGTTGAAGGAAGTGGCACCGTTGACGCTCTCAACGAGTTCTTCAACACGTTCTCGACGAAGCCTCTGGGCCAGGAGTCTCAACAGAGCCGCCTGTAAGAACGCTGACGTGTTTATGAGTCTGTATTTTACCTTCGAGATGTATATAGCTTGTTTGATTCGTTCGTTGCGAGTGATAGCTTGAGCATGACCGGCGTTTATTTTCAATTCCCATATAAATATGAATCAATTTTCAATTCCTACCCAAGGCCCTCTTCGTACTTGTATCTTTTTTCATTTGGTACATGTAGTCTTGAAAAACATCAATGTTTATAGAGTGGTCACATGCCAAGCCTCGATCTACGTTAAGTATTTTCCATCTCCACCCCGCATCACCTGCAAAAAGATCTTGACTTCAGCCATCATACCTTGAGATCAAGATCACCCACTTAACTTTAAAAGCCAAAAATGCTCACTCTGTTGGTCGAAGCTCAGCTGGAGGGGTAAGTACTCCTACCTTGAGAGTTCGATTATTGAGCCTTTGCAGGTGTGCCTGCATCTCCCCGCACTGCACTCCAATTCCAGGAACACACTGCGCGGGCAGATCCTTTCGGCCACTATTATCAAAGAGACGACTAACTGACATGAGGATACAGCGTTACTGCCCTCCTGCCCACAGACACTGAGGAAAATCCCTACTTCTACACCTTCCGAGTGCAATGTACCTCCTGCCATGAGACACACCCCAACTGGGTCAGTTTCAACCGCTTTGTACGTGGATTGCCTACATCCTACTCTCCATTTTGTCACGATTGAACGGTTTACTAACTGGATGGATCTCTAGGAGACGCATGAAATTCCCGGCAGCCGCGGCGAGGCTAATTTCGTGTGGAAGTGCCGACTATGCACAGTAAGCAAACTATTTCTTTCCCAATTTGATAGACTGAGAATGTTTCATTTTCGCCTTGCTTGCGAGTTGTTTCCATCTCGGTCGCACTCCGCTTTGTTGGCATCGACCCTTTGGGCCTCTGCAAAATTTTATGATTACATGGCTAACGACCACATAGAAAACCCACACTGCCTCCGTCGTCAGTGGACCTAAGCCCTATGAGGCTCAGGAAAAGCAAAGTGCCCAGAAGATCCTTGAAATGGACTGCCGTGGCCTCGAGTTCATTGAGTTCAAGCCCGATGTGAGTAAATTCCAAATTCTGCCCAGATTTACCTGGGTAATTGTATGCTGACGAAGATAATTTAGGGCGAATGGGAAGCTAAGGCTGTTGAATCCACCACTACCTTCTCTGGAATTGACCTTTCAGAGGGTGAGTGGTACGACTACGACGAGAAGAAGGGTGAGGAAGTCAGCATCAAGGAAATCACCTGGACTGTTGGGCGTTAAGCAAAGATCTACTTGACGATGATGATTTTCTGGAGTCTGAATCTATGAAACTCTGATGAACTTTGATTATATTTTTCCATTGTATTATTATTGGTGTCTGTTGGTGAGCTTAGCCTCGGAAGGTGTGATGGGAATGGAGGCACGGAGCATACTGAAAATGGGAGATATATCAATGACGAGAAAATGAAAATGAGCCACAAAAAGAAGTCCTCCTTCTATCGTACATATGTACCGCCAAGGAGTGAATGCAGGGTATTTACAGCAAACCCCATGGTCGTCTCAATCGAAGCGCTGTGCCCACTATACAAGACCTCAAAGGCGGTGAAGTAATACGGGCGTTGATTGGCCACTGACCACCGCCTTATTCACCTCACATTTTCGCGATCTCGCCGACTCCGATGCCCACGCAGTTGACAACACGACCAGCACGATCAACCAACGGAGTGATAGATCTTGCTTGAGCTTTTACTGTCATCATATCTTCAAATCTCACTCTACCCCAACCTACCAGAAACTCATCTCGAGTCACAATGAGTGTACGTCTTTCCCCCCTCAAGCTTAGCCCGCTATCAAGCTCGAGATCCCGCTCATCAGCACCTGAACCTGCGCGCTATTCCCAGAGGACTAATTGCTAACTTTCACTTTTGCAGTTCCAACCGCTTAACCCCCGTCCCTTCCTCCAGGCTCGGTATGCGACCCGCCCCCAACCCACCCCGATCCCATCAAGCAGCCCCAAGCAGCATATCTATCTCTCGAGACATGCGCACATATGAATCGTTGCTGTTCAAATGGCTTGCTAACCTACAAATATCTACAGCGTGGGCACTGAAGTCCTCATCCGCCTGAAGTGGGCCCAGACCGAATACAAGGGTACCCTCGAGAGCATCGATTCATACATGAACGTTCTGCTGCGTGATACGCAAGAATTTATCGACGGAAAGCCCACCGGTGCATTGGGTCTTGTTCTGATCAGGTATGTGATGCGCACTCTAATCGGTTCGACGTCGAGCTAGCTACTTGCGATTCTAGTTTGGCTAACTCTCTTTCCCTCGCACAGATGCAACAACATCCTCTATATGGGGTCAGCCGATGCAATTGAGATGACAGACATGGAGCTTAAATAATATATCGCATACCCTCGAATGGAGATCGATGCAGTGCGGTACATGAGGGGGAGTGGTGGGAGATGATGGCTGTTCCTAGGTGTCTAGGAGTGAGGTGTCCTTCGGTGTCGTCGCTTTGGAGTAGTGTGTTTTGGTACAGTGGGATTTCTATTCCATTGAATGGATAGGCCACTTGGTTTGTGGCACGCTCAAATGCTTCCTGCGCCCGCCAGACACCCGGAGACATGACATCGTCAACGAGCTCGGCTCTGCACAGATAGACACCGAGGATAGATGGACCGAGTGTACCAGGTTTGTTGGGACTCAGGTGTGTGTTCTACTCACAATTTCAATTATCATGAGGCGTTTTTTTTTTGTTTATGGCTTTTCAAAGAGGGGTTTGTGCATGGCCACTGACCAAAATCGAATCAATTACTTTCTGCACGAGTCTGGGAGGCATACGTAGTTTGGTTTCTGTCTTAATTAATCAGGGTTGCCTGCAAGTCTGCTGCGCCATCAAGTGTCGAGTGCGATGGTGTATTATGACTCGGGTGCCGCGCTGCGACAACGTCTCCGATTACTCTCCCGATAGTTCACCCAGAGGATATCGGTGAGAAAATGGGGGACCACAGCCTAAATCCAATAGGGATCGACATATTTTGAATGTACGTGTACGCCGGTGCACTGAAGGAGTGACAAGACACTATGACCCAGGGCGATCAGTTTCTCAACCGAAAATATGTTGTAATATGGCTTCAAGTGCTGCTATTATTCGTATTTCGGGGACGGAGTACGGAGTATAGTCTCCACTTCCGACGGGCTTCCCATTCCTGGAGATAACTGTATCGCACAGCCCTGAGAAAAATCCCCAATGGGGCGAATCCACCTACGTATACTCCGTACTAAGACCCCTGTTCCTTTTGACGCGGTCCTCTGTATGATCGCATATTTGCCATTATGAAATTGTTGGAAGAGATTCGGATGTGTGGTAGGTTAAGGTGGCTAATTGCTAATTGCTAATTGCTGTGGCGGTTCTTTTTATAGAAGACGACGTACCACATGGCGTACAATGTACCATCGTACATCGTACATACCAGCCGATCCCGTGGACCCGTCGACTTGCTCACCTCCCCCCACTACTGTACGGAGTAGTCCCTGACCATATAAGCCCATGATAAAAATTTCATGCCATCGACGTCATGGCGCTTGAAGGATGGCATCCACAATAGTAAGCTAAGACGAATAGTGCACTGCAGGGTTATCGTAGTCAGTTTCAGAGAGTCTATGGACTTGTTTACAGAAAAGGAAAGAAAATTGGGGCAGATCATCTTCCTATATCACCAAATTCGACTTTGACCCGTTCGTACCAGGTGCTTTCTCCATATAACATATCTCCAGACGAACCATCGTTCTTCATAATGATGGTCACTCGGACGCCACCACAATTGTTGCCGATCATCACCCCCGCAGCTAAAGAGTCACACACATTGCCAAAAGGGGCTTGTGCATTGAGTATGCACTCAACTTGTGGGGTTTCAAGTGCCTCGAGGGAAAAAGGTTGCCTACTTGGATAGGTACACATCGACTTGTACGTGTACTCTTTAAGTGGTATTTATAAAATATATAAAATAGACCAAAAAATAACCAAACACAACGCTGATCAATAGTCCACAGGCAAATCTTATAGTTGGACCATCGAATCACTAACTTCTCTACTCCACTGATCATCGGTACTGCAGACATTCACATTTCCCTTTTCGCTATCGGATGCCAGTTCCTCTTTTTTTTTTTTATAAAACTTCCCATCTCCCTTACCTCATTCTTTCTATATTCTTCGATTCTCCATTCTCTCCTAAACTTGAAACACACCAAATCTCCACAAGTCTGCAGTCAGCCTACACCTGCAGCGCTCTTTGTCTCATCTCGCGCTTTGAACCTACACAAAAACTATACACCCTACACCTTACACCCTCGTGACCTCTGAATTTCTTTCTACTTTGGAATTCCAAACTATATACCTCTTTATCCCCCACCGGATTACACAATAAAGGAAAAACTCTCTACACAATGCGCGACACACCCTCCAAATTCATCGAGATCCTCGATCCCAAGGACCCATCTCTACGCATGTCCGACTCCGATGTCCGTCTGGAAGATGTCCTTGCCGACCACGAAGCAACTATCAACAGCCGAGCCCGTTCCTCTACACAGTCATCCGCAAAACCAGACAAGTCCCCGTCTCGTAGGAACTCGACATCCCCAACACCACGGTGGAAACGTCTGAGCAATATTCTCGCGCAACCCCGCCGGAACTCTTAACATACTACACCCCCACCCTGCAGTGATGTGCCTCGGTCTCACTACACTCCACTCTACTATATGTCTCAAACACCTGTTCCGATTCGGGTGGACAATGCCGAACACATTCCCTGCCTTGTGAAAACGAAAAATAAGAGAAAAAAAAAACAAAGATGCAAATTGCAAATTGCAAATGATTTCTTTTATGGCTACATTCGCGACTTGACTAGCGACGTTCGGATCTGTGTTTCGTGCCTGGGGCACGGTGACATGGACCGAGAATTGTGAATTGCAAACGAGATTACGAATTGAAATGATACGAAGTGATGTGCGCGACGACTAGCTTGCTTGCTATTCGGGTGTTGTCGAGTGTTTGGCCTCGGACTGTGTTTTTCTGGTCTGTTCTGCTGGCACTGGTCCAGTTGACAAGGGGACAGGATTTTGCCCCGCTTTGATGATTTGATGAGTGTGCACTCTGTTTATTTGAGGATTTTGGATGTTGGATTTGGATTTGAATCTGGATCTGGATTTCGATCTAGGGTTATACGATTATGATTCTAGATCGGTCCTCTGGCACATGTATAGAAACCAAATTTCTCACAAAATGAAGAACGTGAACGGTCTGAGACCTGCGTTTATTTATTTTTCACTTGTTGTTAATATAACTTCATTTTGCTTCCCTACTGCTTGTCCCTACCGCTTGTAGCCATATCACCTTTGATACCCGATGTAGCCCTAAAGTGAACCATACGTTTAGTCGGAATCTCGTCGATGAAGCGAAAGTAACCGAAATTCTATTTGACCCGGTTGTTTGTTCTTGAACTTTGTACCTGGCGAATATTAAATCCGGCGGGGTCTTAGCTTTGGCCCTGTAGTCACTACCTCTTAGGCTTGTAGTATGTACATGATAGGTACCAGTGGACCCTGGACCCTCGGAGTGGAACATTTTTGCTACGAATACAATACATATTGGACGGGCCTAATAAGAAGACTTTGCTGGAAAGGTTTCAGAAAGTCAGGAACACATGTCGGTCAAGCTGGGATAGCTCTTTCATCGTTTTTCTATTGCCTAGCACAACAGCTCTCCGTGTTAGGGGATATGAGTCGCAACTTGGCGCTGTATCGGCCTCTGTCCCTGCGCCGGACTATTCGGACCCTCGTGCATGTAGAGCTAGCTATACGAGAGACCTGCGGATATAGATTGAAATCCGAATAATTTTAAGTTGAAAAGAGAACTGTGGCAAAAAGATAGAGAATGTCGGACACACGTCGGAACTGAGATCTCGCCCACGCAATCCCATGGGCTCATGATCTATCAATATTATAATGTACATCATTTGGGCACAGGTCGAGTCGGTCAGATTGAACATCCCCAGGTATTCCCCGGCATACTATATCCAGTCATCCCAATCATCCAATCAGTTCCATCCCATATCCACCCTTTCTCTCTTTCATCAGACTGCTAATCTCGGCCGGATGTATCACGTTAAACGAGGCCATTACCAGCAACATAAGAGCGGCATCGAAAATGTAACTCCAGAATTCGTGCTGGAGCAATGTCCCACTGCTTCCCTCGTTGTACTCGATGTACCGGAAGATGGAACGGACGAAAATCATCAGACTGCCGACGTATAACACAGCCTGGTGTTTCTTCCAGGGGACCACGCGCTGTTGTAGCACCCTTGAACCGTTTTTCTCGAGCTTGACGTGAAAAATGATGCTGGTAATGATGAAGATACCGAAAAAGATGATCTGGATGATCAGGCCGACTTTGATCACATTTCCGCCGTTTGCTGCTGTGCTGGCTTTGACCAGCATTCCGGCTCCTGTATCATCGCAATATACGGTTAGTCAGTCGGGAGATGCAGGATGTCGTGGACGCATCGAGGGATGAGGTATGGGTCTGACCTCCTGCCTGAACCAAAAATGATATCACATCCCCAACCACAAAGATCTTCGTCAACCACGAGCGTCGAATTGGTGATAAGTGTTCTCCACCAGTGACAATCATGATACGGCCAAGCTCCATATAAATACTTGCAGCGAGAAGTGACGGCGCGACGAGGATAAGAATGGCTTGGATGGCAAGAGGAGGCGTGGTATAATTTGGGTATTGCTTGGAGGAAACGACACGCTAGAACTGTGAGCATATTCCCTCTCTGACCTGATCGAGTATCGAGAGAGGCTTACGGCAATGTATCCAACAATCTCAACTACAGAAAACGTGTGTTAGAAAGACCTGGGAAACAGCCCGATGAAAGGTCCCAACAGCAAGTTAGCACATCGAGCTGGCACTCACATATTCCTCCGAATATAAAAGCAATGAAGAACCAAGTCCGACCACGGAACATTTGCCAACAATGCAAGAGGGTTAAGATTCCGAATAGGACAATAAATACCACGGCAGCTGGTATTGAAGGTATGTAGTCATACTCTCCCATATACTTGACTGCAACCATTGTGTCTTTCGGCTCGTTGTTTAGACCAAGAAACCAATTAAATATCAGATAGAGCAGGGCTTGGTCCCAGCATCAAAACAATTATATATCTCCATATTTCAGGGGATTTTCAAACCCATTTCCAAACGTTGAAGCCTATTATATTTTTAAATATAAGCTCAAGACATCTGTAAAATGTGACAGAGTGCGTACAACGTTCCCGCTTGGAGTTGCCCTACTTAGTATATGCGAAGTGCGCGTTTAGCGTGCTCGGTGGAACATGCCGGTATATCCGAACCAACTCTCATGGTATGAATGTGATGAAACTCCGATCTTCTCGGATTGGAGTGTTTTTAATTTGGCAATATAACAGAGCCTCCCATAGCCGAGCCCCCACAGATTGGATATAATATATATCATATATCATATATCATATACCACATGCCATATACGCGAGTTGTAGACCCTAATTTCACCCCTTTTCAATGCCACGGAGGGTTCGCACTAATTCTCGGAAAAGATGGGTCCAGCGTAAGCACAGCCATGTCCGTACTGGAGGGTTGGTCTAGAGCGTATAGCCGCTAATATTCTGCTCACGTCGTACTGTCACTAGGTGGCAGTGCAATATACACCGGCTTTTGTGCGGCTTATGCATAAGGCGAGAAGTTGATGTAACTCCACGGCGCTTACTTTGACCCCGAAATCTTCTGCATCACAGGGACACAGGAATTACCATTCCTGATCTGTATTGCCCGAGCCCAGTAGACTGCAAGATATGGCATTCTATCGTCATCTCATCATGGTTGCATCGCGTGAGATGACGAGAGATGAGATAGATGAAAGATTTTGACAACCCCCTTCTCGCAATTGGTAGATTCTCATGAATATGTGACCGATGAGTTGCTGCCTATCGGTGGTTTTTATCTCGCTTCACTGGATTCTGAACCACAGGAACCTTTACTGTATACGGCGCTGCATTATCGCAATCGAGCAGTGGCAGGGCTCCGCTGGATTTTTGCGAGCAACACACCGCAGGATTGTAAGCTGGCATTGATATTTTCTACTCATACTATCGTCTTCGTTTCTGTGTACCGTGTTATTTCTCAGAATAACATCATATCAGGCCCGCTCGAGGGAATCACAGAGCTGTGACTTCCTTGAAAGGAGCCCTGTTTCTTCGTGAGCAGGGCTTTAATCGGAAAGGGGAATCAAAGGCGAATGAATGGGTATCTCGGGATCGAAGATTCAACAATCGAGTATCTTGATCAAACAATGCCCGTGTCTTCAAGTGCCAGGATACCGGGACACATTCAAGGTAAATAAGGAATCGTGTTCCAGTTCAAATCACGTAGGATTCAGGGACGAGTTAAAACTGCCATTTCCATGGTTCCATATATAAAAAAACAGAAAGTAGAATCTGCAATAATTCCTATACAAGTTCAAGGTGTAATGGCATGTAATAGGAGAAATTGTTAAATTGAAGCTTTTCAATGGAAGGTCGATCTCTTATCAAATATCGGTGCCCCACATCAACCTCCCCCGATCACCTCAAATTGCCCAAATCACAATTGCAGCAACCCTGTGACTGTGCCTGGGATTGGAGATTCCCCTGCAAGAACCCGCGTTTAATCAAACATCCAACGCCAAGCAATCTTCCGCGACGCTCCCCGAAACCCCGAACTGTCGCGTCTTTGTGCGCAACGTGAACGTGCCAGGTCGTGCCATTCCTTGTCACCTTATCTAGCCTTACCAGCATCCCAGAAGCCAATAAAAAAAAATGGCCTGGCTCCAACAAACACCAGGTTCTGGTGGTCGCGCCGCATCCCCAACAGTCTTTGAGCAGCAGCGTGAAGAACTCGTCCGAGAGATCGCAGTGGTATGTAGCATGTTGACAAACTCCCCACCCGGGAATCCTTCTTACCCACCGCAACTGATGTTAATTTATTCGAGTAGGGCATGGAGCAAGTACTTCAAAACATGAACCGTTTGAATCGAAACCTAGAGAGTGTGATTGCGGTAAGTTTCAGCACTGGGACTGAGAAAGTGCATCTGCTAATGGTGTAATTAGGTGGGCAATGAATTTGGATCTGTGGAAGCTCTCTGGTCCCAATTTGAGAACTTTATGGGCCGACCGGAAGAACAAGGCGAGGATTCCGGTAATGGCAATGGGAAGCGTAAGGTTAGTGGGGAGAGTGATGCGAGTAAGTCGGGAGTAAAGCGTGAAAATGACGAGGGTGACTCGACAGTCATGCAGTGATGGTTTACATTTTGATCTGCATGACGGGTCTCGGCGTCCGGCTGTTTTACTTTTTTTTCTTTCTTTTCTTAGATACCATTCAAAATTCGGGTTACATCTACCTGGGGAAAAGATATATGAATCCTACGGAGAAGACATTGATAAACACCAAAGGTCAGATGTATTCAGTAACACATAGGACGTCGCTTTCGCCAACAGAACATATCAGATAACATAATCGAGAACACCAGTCCCATGCATGCCAATGGAAAACGGCAAAGACCCGAGGTCATGAGAGACATCAAATGGAACAAGGGGGACAAGGGTCGTGAAGAGGGCCAAAAAGAACACAAGTAGGGAACAAACGTAAAATAAAAGAAACAGCCTCCAGCAAAAATAAAAAAAAATCAAGATCATTGTAAGGGCCGCGCAGCGTATCGATACAACAGAGAAGGATTTGGAAAGTCATGTCTAGCTTTGTCCAGCTTGCGGCGACATATCACATACATAGGCGAGCGGGCAAGCAAGCCGACGAAGCAACCAGGCTTGTGGTCCGGCCAAAAGAGAATGGAAAATCAAAGGGTATCGAGTAGAATCAATCTACAGAATCTTGCAAGTGCGCTTCTTAATCTTCTTGCCGGGGCGGGGGCCTCCACCTCCTGAAGGCATGGCGCTGGCGCGATTGTTGCGGCTATTGCGGCTGGCCGGTTGCTGAGCTGTCCAGCCTTGTTCTTCGATTGAGATGGCCGAGTCAACGGCCTTGGCGAAGACTTCATCCACACCGCGCATCTCCTTACTACTGCATTCGGCGTATGTTGCTCCCATCCGTTGGGCGACATTTTCTCCTTGCTCTGGTGTAATAGGCGTCAGGCCTTGTGTCTTGAGAAGTTCAATACAGGTTCGCTTATTGCGCAAGTCGGACTTCAAGCCAACGAGAATAATGGGTGTAGTGGGACAGAAGTGCAGAACCTCGGGATACCACTGCACAGAGAGATGTTAGACAAATCGGGAAAGGGCAAAGAGGGTTCCGATTTTAGGACTCACCTTGTCAACAACATTCTCCAATGATGCGGGGCAATCGATAGCAAAGCAGACAAACAGAAGATCAGTCTCGGGATAGGACAGTGGACGCAAACGGTCATATTCCTCCTGTCCAGCAGTATCCCAGAGGGCTAATTCAACGGTCTTGCCAGAAGCCCGATGTGTCGTTTGGGTGATATAGTTCTCGAACACGGTGGGGACATATTTCTAGACGATAATCAGTACCAGTCACACGTCTTTTCCTGGCAGGCCGAACGTACCTCTGGGAAGTAACCTTGGGAATAACTGATCAACAAACAGGTTTTGCCACATCCGCCATCGCCCACCACTACAAACTTTTTTGAGAATGAGGGCGGCTGAGTGATATTTGTTGCCTCAGACATCCGTCCACTGGAGACACTGGTATTGGTGCTGGCTGTGCCGTGACTGACTCGGACGCTGTCGCTGCGCGCACGACTGTGACGCGGTGTCAAAGATGGAGGAGGGGTGGCGAGAGAGCGGCGGCGCGATGCTGCATAGTATTGATCTTCGTACATAGCACTCATGATGCGTAGGGGTAGGGGGCTGGAATGTGCCTCGTTTGTAATGTGACACAGAGGAAAACGTGTTTTCTTTTGTTGGGAATCTGTTGATAGGATGAAACGATATGGAATGAGAGAGGTAAGAGTGAAGAAAAAGAGGAGAGGATAGATCTAAAAAAGATCTAGAGGATCGATAGAGCAAGAGGGTCTGGCGAGACCCGTGAGACCCGTGAAACCCGTGTTTACACCGGGGCTACCATAGCAACGGCCGTGCCTCCATGACGCCAGGGCTCCGCTTCCCACGATCAAAGCCATCTATATTCTATATCCTGTCATTCACTGGTTTATCTCGATCCTGTTTTGGTTTCGACTCCACTAATATATTCTTGTTCTCCACTGTTCAGCTCACCTTTTTTTTTTTGTATACAGTATACCGGATGGGGTCATGTGATTTGTAGATCCTTCCGGAGATATGAGGTCTCACTTCATATCTTTTCTATTATGAATTATAATAGCCCACATCTACTATATCTTATAGAAATACTAGATCTAGAGAAGTGTTGTAAAGCAGAGTATTTAATTGAAAATCGAGTACAGAGTAGCCAAAACAAAATGGAATATAAAATCATATGGGTTTTGACCACGCTAACTCTGCATGTCATCTTTAGCACTCTTTATTTGACGGAGAAGACCGATACCCGTGCTACAAAGCCTCCAAGATACGAGCTGACAATAATGTTTTACTTGATTTATTATTATTAAAACTTAGATTTTGGCTTTACCATTTTCTCTCCTAGGGGATGTCAATTACAATCCTATATCAATACTGGAGAGAGAGAAACGAAATTATTTCAACAGAAGCTAAGAGCTAATAGTATGTACAGGTAAAATGAACATAGAAGAGTTTAACATCGATACATATGGAATTATCAGATGATATTCTTCTGGACGGAAACTTCTCCGATAGGCACGTAAATCATCTGCTTGAAATGTGGTTCCAACTCACATGGTAAAACTAAGTTAAAATCAACGATGTATATGTATGTATACCCGGGGCTGTACTATGCCCAGGCGTAGTTACGTGGATAGGTAACTACCTACGTAGTTAGGTAGCCCCAATGTACGGTGACTAAGCACACACATGGCCCGCGGGCAGTAGGGGGTTTGAGCCGCGGATGATCTCCACGTCCACTTTGGAGCATAACCCTCATCGTGTTTCTCCATTATATCATTTGCTTCAATCCAACTTCATTTCGCTCCTTATGTTCTAAACCTCTATATCCCTAAACCCTTCAAACGGACCGGCAGGCAGCAGCCTGTCCATCTATGGGATCCATCCGATTGCGACACTGTCTGGATCGATAACACTACATCATGGGTAGCAAAAAGGACCAGCCCGATGCTGGACTGAAGAGTCTGAATCACTGTATGCGAGTCGTTTCTTTTTTTAATTTTATTTTTGGTCCACCCATGGCTTATCGCGACGTCCGCTAACCGTTACACGTTTGCGACGTAGATTCAAATCGATTACCCCTCTGGCGGTACTGGCCGCGACAAAAGCTCATCCCATTGATCCGATATGAGACGCCATATTTGGCTTGGGTGCAGGAGAAAGTCCGCACGCCAACTCTCGACTCGTATTTCGCATTCACGGCTAACCTCGGCACCCATACCTTCTTCATGGTCTTTTTGCCCTTCCTCTTCTGGTGTGGTTCTCCCAGTATGGGTCGTGGGTACGTTTTCTTTTTGAAATTGAAATCGTAGGTGGAATTCTGTAACTGATGACGATTGTCTATAGATTGGTGCACATCTTAGCATCGGGCGTCTTTTGGAGCGGCTTCCTCAAGGACCTGCTCTGCCTTCCTCGGCCTCTCTCTCCCCTCCACTTCAGCGAATCACCATGTCCGGCTCTGCAGCACTGGAATATGGATTCCCTTCTACACACTCAACTAATGCTGTCTCAGTTGCGGTCTATGCTTTGGCCCTGCTTGGCTCACCAGAATCAACTCTCAGCGCGCAGGTCACCCTCTTACTCCAAGCCATCACCTATATCTACGTCGTGTCCATTGTATTGGGTCGACTGTATTGCGGAATGCATGGGATGCTGGACTGTACTGTTGGATGTGCTATGGGTGCGGCTATTGGCCTCGTACAATTTTATTATGGGCCTGCCTTTGAGGAATTCATTTTATCCGCTTCATTGATGGAGATTTCCATGCTGGGGCTTCTGATTATATTCCTCGTCCGCGTCCATCCAGAGCCGGCGGATGATTGCCCGTGCTTCGACGATAGTGTTGCATTCGCAGGAGTTATGCTAGGCGTGGATTTGTCTTCATGGCACTTCGCCGATATCTGGGTCGGTTATCCTTCTGGATCAATTCCCTACGACCTCGAGACCGTGGGCTGGATTAAGACTGTTGTTCGTCTGGTCGTGGGCGTTTTGTGCGTGTTTGCTTGGAGAACTGTAACCAAACCCGCGCTGTTGCGCATTCTACCACCTATCTTCCGGACCCTGGAGAAGCTCGGTCTTTTGCTCCCCCGACGTTTCTTCACCACCGCATCGTAAGTTTGAACGTTCTTCCTGCTCGTGGAAGTTTTGCTAATATGTTCTTAGTGAATACACCACCATTCCCTATAACCTAAAGGATCACGACGTTCTTCCGAATTTCTCTGACATCCCAGACATCATTACCACAATGCGCCATCCTCGCCGCCGAGCCGTTTCAATTGGTCCCCAGTCAGAGGCTGATGCGTATGAGACCCTGGCGTACCGGGAAAAGCGTCGACGCGAGAGTCAGTCTGGAAGCAATCGTCCTTCCCCAGTCGCAGAGGATCAACTCAAGCCCAATGGAACGCCCGTGGGGCCAAGAAAGATGGCATCACTGGACGATTACGAAGGCATGATGGGAAGAGGCAGCCCCAGTTTATCTGCGGCGGATGTGAATTCTGACATGCCGACAACACCTTTCCCTTCGATAGATTTCGAGGTTGGGGAGAGGGAGGAAAAAGAAGTGTTCTCCCAAATCAAGAAGCCCCGTGTGCGGTATGACGTGGAGGTAATAACGAAATTGGTTGTATATGCGGGTATGTGAACCCCCTGGATTTTGACACAACATTTGCTGATACCAGGCTCCTTTAGGTATTCCATGGGTGGTCATCGAAGTCGCACCCTTGTTATTCGACGTAATCGGGCTTGGAAACCGATAACGAGGGTGGAAATGTATTGCTAGAAGTGCAATTCGCTGCAGTCCCCCTCTTCTTAGCCCCACCACCTCCCCGGTCTGCTCCTAGCTCAGTAGGCTTTGCTGGAGCATGCCACCTGAGAAATATCCTTCACGTTGCCCATGTACATAAGCATTGGAAACAATATCCATAGCTACATTCTTCGATCCGGTCAGACATCCTGCGCAGACACAGGTTGGGACCATCCACATCATGACATAGAAGACAATAAAAGACAATAAAAGAAACAAGGGCAAAGAGCGATCAAGTAAAGATGCCCAATCGCAACTTTCTTTTTGAGGTTGTCGCATTGTGATATCAGGCTGTTTATAGAGTCCGACACAAGACAATTATTAGATGAAACACCAAAGGGCATAGACCAGAATAAAGGAAAACTATATGTAGCAAAATTTGAAGAATAACATTCAAAGAAACTCTCAAAAAATATCAAGAAAGATAGGCCAACAAAGAGTGACAATATGTAGATCCATGTAGGTCAACATAACAACAATGGAGGCTGGGGAAATATGTGATGAGTCAGCAAAATGATGAAAGAACCCGGTGCACCGCGTCGGCTCATATTGTTCCCATACCTCTTCTATTGCGGAGTATCTGCCTTCGATTCTGGCTTCTGGCTTCGGGGTACATATTCCAGTCATGCCCAATGATGGATCTTGAAGTCTTGTCTTCATCTATCTGCTCATTCCTCCCTTATCACATCCTCAACGTTCATTCGACCACCGTCAATCTACTTGAAAGCGCGTCATCGGACGAGTAGATCGCTCTCGACCTTCTTGCTCGCACACGTTCGACGTGACTTTCTGTTTCGCATCAACATGGGCTTCTTCCGCTGGCCTCGGTGCAAGCGAAGCGCATCTCCTGTGAAGCCCACGGAGTCCTCGCCCAATATTCCCATTCCCTTTGAGCCCTCAAAGCCTCCATTTAAAACCCACGATGGTATGGCAGCCCCTCCTTGGAAGCTCAAGTCACATATGCTAAACTACTGCCCAGTCTTAGATACTTCTCAATTGCCCATCCCAGGAGCCTTCCCGTTAACTCCTCCCGAATCCCCCACCCTTGTTGTATCACAAGGCCCGACCATCGAGGAGGAAGATGTCCCACCGAAGGGGTGGGAATCCATGGACATAGATGTTCGCACAACACCAGCACTTGTTACGGATCTCGGCATACATCTCCACCCTCGATTACCGCCATACAACCCTCCCCTTCCGACCGCTAAGCGCGTTCCATCGCCAAGACCAACTAAAGCCCCCAAGCCCGTCGAAGATGACCTGATGGACATTGATGACCCGTGGGATCAACAAGCTCAACTAGATGCAAGGATTCCCCATGGCCCTGTTTCAGCTGTACAGTTGTTTTACGCCAACAGGAAGCCGATTCCTGCCAATCGCATTGCGTCGTGGTACGAGGCGGAATTCGAGAAGCGAGAGAGAGAAAGATTAGCCCGCGAGCGCGATCTCCAACGTCCAACCAGAGTGGTCCCACAGGGTTACCCTGTACGTCTGATTTCGCCCGAGTGGCTTGCCAAACTTCAACACGCCATGCGGAGTGGACAAGGGAATGCCGTTGCCAAATCATTGGCCGGAGACGATCTGTACCAGCGGGATATCGTCACATGCATTCGCCCTGAGGCCTGGCTCAACGACGAGATCATCAATGCCTACCTTGGTTTACTCGTTCAATACCTCCGTCAATCGCATGGAAACCTCGGACCTAGCGATCGGCCACTCTTCCACGCCTTCAACACATTTTTCTACTCTACCCTTCGCGATAAGGGATACCAGGGAGTGCAGCGTTGGGCAAAGCGGGCCAAGATCGGTGGCGAAGGGCTCCTTAATGTCGACACAGTCTTCATCCCTGTACATGAGTCAAGCCATTGGACCCTCATGGTTATTCGACCAGCAGAACGAACAATCGAGTATTTCGACTCCCTAGGATCCCGCGGCCCTCGCCAAGTGAAGAACATCAAGCAATGGCTTCGTGGGGAGCTCGGGCCAAAATATAACGATAAGGAGTGGACTGTCCTGCCGTCCGTCTCTTCTCGGCAAGACAACGGGAGCGATTGTGGTGTCTTCCTCCTAACAAATGCAAAAGCAATTACTATTGGGGTTGAACCAACCGCCATTGGCCCAAGCCATATCACACTTCTCCGCAGGAAGATTGTTGCTGAGCTCATGAACGGTGGCCTTCACGGCGAGTTCAGTCCACAGGACAAAGCAACAGGTCTAGTGTTTCTCTAAACACCAAGACCAGTTATCTATCGCTACAGAAGCATCACCTTTTCTTGTCGATCTCGTACATTCAATTTGGGGTCTTTTTCACCCTCACCTACATAATCTCACATACCTCACCCATCCCTAACCCACAATTATCCATATCAAGCACCATGACCAAGGCGTTCTCGGTTATCATTACACATTATCTGCTATTTCGGCGCACAAGGTGAACACACGGAAAAGATGAAAAAAAAGGGACAATGATTTTTTGGACGCGCTCTTTTTATGTGATTTTTGCAATGAATCTGAATGATACCCCACGGTCACCACCATTATGGTGACTCAGTTGATACAAAGAAGCCCCTTTTCGCGGACTCATTTTATCATATTTTTTTGTTTTTCTCGATCTCCTGCTTTTATTTGGTGCTGTTTTATCTTACATAGCATCCACTTTCTCTGTCAATTGTAGAGTCATGTATTTCTATTGTGTCGGCTCTTTCATCTGACCTCGGGACTATAAGCAATTAATAATTATTAGTAGCCCCAAAACATTATCATCCTGGCTAGTGAACATCACCTAGCTCTGAACGAGAGCGTTGGATTAATTGATGAGAGTCCTATATAGCTAAAATTATTTTGAGAAACAAGTTGCAATACCAATCAACGCTTTGAAAACATGCAATCTCAAGATCAACAAGAAGGCATGATGGATCACTAAGTATTACGGTATTATGGCTGGTAGATATATTCCTCAGGAGTAACATCGGCGCCGTTACTCGGAATGTTTGGAAGTATTACCTGTTGTGTATTCGCACCTGACGTCCTTCGCTGTGGCAGTTTGGAAGGATCCTTAGATTATCTCACAGACTGTAGTCGTCTAAGCGGACTCGGCAGTACAAAGAAGTACAAAATCACTATGGAGGAGCTACCCAAGTAACCGGAGATATGTCCAATTCAAGTATTTGACAGTATATTACATAGTATGTAACTTTGAACTGGTACTCGTACTCGTTCTTGTAGAGTCAATTGAAATGTGGAGTCGAGAGAAGCGCTGTGATTGGTGTTGCATCTTAGTTCCCAAAAGGGGACTAGCGCTGTGGGTCGGGAACATCCGCTTCAAGTTCTTTCTTCAACCTCATGATACCCGAATAAGTAACTACTGTTGTAGATCATGGTGATCAATTTATCGGTACTCCGCACAGAGCAATAACAAATGATTTTCTCTCAGCCTCTCACGGCACTTCCGAAGGAGGCTGCTGTATCTTTGTAAATTTCGTTTGCATGAATTCAGTCAGCCTAGGGGCCAAAGACCTACTTTGTATATCTTTCGTTCTCTCAAACCGGAGATTTGTTTTGCATTCTGGGGCCAAAATCCAAACCCAGCCAGTAATTGACTGCTGCAGGAAGCATGATGTCAGCTCGTTTGCAAAAGAAAAAGGAGAACAGAAAAGAAAAGAAAGATAGGAAAGAGACGTAGAATTTCCCTATAAAAGAGGGATGTCTGCCGAGAAATTTCAAGATCATAACCACCCTTTTTTTTTTACTCACCCGGAGAACCTGGAAACCAGTAGCCATGAAGCTGCTCTCACCTACGCTGCTGTTGACGTTTCCTACCTTAATCTTAGCACTTCCTTCGGTCACCGTTGACGCTGGTACCATACACGGTGGAAAGTGCAAAGATGGGAAAAACGCAGTCTACTACATAGGAATTCCTTTTGCTGAGCCTCCCGTCGGAAAACTTCGATTTGAGCCTCCCAAAGTATACAGTGGAAAATATGACAATGGGGCACTGAATGCAACGGCCCCTGCCGCCACCTGCATTCAGTTTGGGGATGACATGGTACCACCGGGGACGAAGTCTGAGGACTGGTAAATCATTTCATAATATTTGAACTCGTTTGTATTCTTTTTTTCTAACTCAATGGACACTTCAGCCTTTACCTCAACGTTTGGACTCCAGCCAACGCCACTAAAACGTCGAAGCTGCCTGTTAGAATTTGGGTATACGGTGGATCCGACATGAGTGGTGGAATTGACTACTCTCTATATGACGGCTGCAGTATTGCAGATGCAGGCTCGGTTTTCGTCTCCATTAACTATCGACTCGGGCCTCTCGGCTTCCTGGCACTGCACAGTGCAGGGATATATGGCAACCAAGGAATTCAAGATCTTCTGCTTGGACTAGACTGGGTTCAAAGGGAGATTTCTGCTTTCGGAGGTGATCCGGTATGTGAATACAGTCAGGCAATGGCACGGATATCTGACCATATATCTGTTATCTAGGACAAGGTGGTTCTCACCGGGCAGTCAGCCGGAGCGACAGACGTGTACACTGTTGCTACTCTTCCTCAAGCACCTTCTCTATTCAAGAGTGCTATTATAGAGTCTATCGCCTTACCTTCGCTCTTGACCAATTCAACAGTTCAACAAACCGGTGCATCATATGCACAAACTCTTCGATGCAGCGTTCGTGATGTGAGTATAAAAGCTTCCTATCTTCTGAATGTATGTTAACTTCGATAGAAATCCTGTCTTCAGTCCAAGACAACAGCTGATCTACAGAGTGCAGTCGACTCTGATAGACAGCTACACGAGGGGCTTGGAGCTCTGAATGGTCTTGGTGTTCTCAATAGGAACACGCCCCACTTTTGGCCTTATGTGGACGGTACTGTTGTCAGTGAGAATCCAGCAACCCGTGGTATACAGGTTCCGACAATCTTTGGATATAGTATGTTCACTCATATCTGCTCAAAACTATATCTAACCACGTAAATCATCAGATCAAAGAGAAGGCATGATGGATACTCTCACAAAATATGACACTACGAAGGCTGTCGCAGCCCTCACAGCAGCCGATTATACGTCTTTTCTCCGCGGAAACTGGGGCTCCGCTGCTCATATTATCCAAAAGTATTATCCTTTGTCTTTGTTTGAGGCTGCTACCAACGGTTCAACCTCGCTGGCTGTGCTTTTCGCCATATCAACTGTCATCACGGATTCCGAGTTCAAATGTTCCGGTTACCAGAGTGCAGTGCAAGCGACTCGAAAAAACGTGCCGGCATGGATTTATGAATTCACCCATAATTCTACTTGCGTATGGCTGGATACAATGCCTCAGTCGGCAATATCAATCTTTGGCGCCGCTCACACCGCTGAAATTCCATACGTCTTTGGAAATCTTGACTTCGATTTTCCTACCCAGAACACTACTTGCACCGGGTCGCAACCGGAATGGAACCTCAGCAAGGAGATGATGAGTTTGTGGACGGCAATGGCAGAGAGTGCCAAGCCATCTACTGGAGATATCTCTTGGCCGGCGTTCAAAGTTACCCCAAAGGGTCTGAACACGCCTGGAATGATATTCGGCAATTCGAGTACACCTGGCACTATTGACTTCTCTGCTTGCAACATTTGGGCCCAGGTTGATGCAATTGTGGATGCGGGCAACGCTACGACCACATCAGTACCTTCCAGTAGCAGTACCAGGTCATCAGTTTCGCCGACTAATGGCGCTACGATCATTTTTCCATCGACTATGATGTTCGCTGCTTGGTGGTTGTTTGTGATTGTAGCGTCTATGGCTGTCTAACTTGGGGTTACAAGCTAGAATATATCAAATAGTTTACAATGGATTGAAAGCAACCTTGAAACTCGATGGTTCGTGTTGACGGTTTGAAGCCATGTCTATGAGCTTAATACTTAAGGGCTACTGCCCTACGTGGACATGCACTCATTGTCTATAATTTTCATGTATCTTGTGTATCGATACATATCATTGCCCCGGTAAGACATAGGAGAATTGTGACTTCAATGTACATTCCTCGTCACTATAGTGGCTGTTTCAAAAGCATGAACGGACAGCTTTCAAAATAGAAACTTGGTACATCAATACTAGATACCAAGAAGAAAAAACAAACCTCCAGCAAGGCCTCGGAAGATACGTCTTGAAACCGAGAGAAAATGGCGTAAATACTAAGTAGAGGGTTGGCCAGCCGCATAAGTTTGCATTCCACACAGCTCGGGTATTCCATGCTGCAATTAATGACCACACCAATAGCGCCTTACACGTCACTGCTGGAAGAAATATTAATAGTTAATCCATTGCCAATTGACAAACAAAAATGGCCCTTTCCCTTAACGTCACAGCGGCCCGCAACATAATTGACTTTGTTCATGAGATACGCCGGACGCAAAAGCAGAACAAGCTTTCGGGCGCTCCCCCGAATTGAGCATCTTCGATGCTGTGGGGCAGTGTAAAGAACATCACTGCTACTCTGTAGTATGATACGCTTAGGTGGCTCGAGGGGGATCGGCCCTGGAGGTAGCCAGAATATAGCTAAGATATAACCAAAAATAGCGGGTCCGGCTGAATTGGGTGGATTAGATCATTTTGGCCCCAATCTTGGCGAGGCTTAGGGGGCTCAAGCCATTGACACGTTGGGATCTGCAATAATATTCCTATTTGGGTAGTATAGATGCTAGACCAGTCAACAAGGAATATTTAGTCACAATCGATGACGCCGGCAGTAAGACTGCGAGGCTGAATCAACATTAAATTGAAGGGCGATTCGAAGTATAAAGGATACCAGATATCTGTGTCGCAAAAACCACTCAACAAACGGTTTTGCATCCTCAACCACACTTCAAATTACCTCAACGACGTCCTCTTCTTTATCTTACTATTAATTTAAAGCGATATGGCGGTTGTAGGCTATCGAAACGGCATCGCTATCCTCCAGCTTATCGTGTTCCCCATCATTCTCGTTGCTGCCATTTTCATCTGGAAGAGGACAGGTTGGAGGGAAGGCAGCAAGATCTGGCGATATGCCGTCACCCTTTCTCTCATCCGGATCGCTGGAAGTATATCCTCGCTGTTGACAATCAGCAATGATTCCCACAACATCAAAGTTGCTGTGGCCGTGTGCCAGCTGATTGGTATTGCACCTCTCTTGCTAACTTTTATCGGACTGCTGAGACAAATGTGAGTTTTCCATCGCGAAAGTATTTATCACGCTAATCAGAGACTAACATATGTCGTTGATAGTGATGTGGAGAAAAGAATGCCGCCCAGGCCCATGGCATTGCTGACTCTGGTCACCTTCGTCGCTCTCATTCTCGGTATCGCTGGAGTGCACTCTTCCAGCGGCAATGATGGAACCTACCGCCCTAGCAAGCTCGCAAAAGTAGCCATGGGAATTTTCCTGGCTGTATTCGTCATCTTTGTGCTCCTCAGTGTTTGGCTTTTCTATGAGCTGAGCTTCTCTCTGCGGAGATTCCAAAAGAAGCTGTTCCTGGCCATTGCCCTTTCTATTCCGTTATTGGTGGTTCGCCTCGTCTACTCGGCGCTCAGCGATTACACGACGCTTAGTTCCTTCGCACTGAATGGAAATACCACGGTCTATCTGTGCATGGATGTATTGGAGGAAATCATTGCCATGGGAATAACCATGGCCCTGGGAATATCAGCCATTCTGGAAAAAGATTTCGTGAAGCTTACTCCAGTCCCCCAGGAAGATACCGAGCCGAAATCAATGGGGGCGTGAGTTTCGTTTTCTGAAGGATGGGTCTTGGGGGTGAAGAGTGGCTTCGAGGATGGAATTGAGGGGTATTGTGCAATCGAAAATCCGGGGAAAAGAAAAGAAAGTTGTATATAGGGAGAAATTCCAAGGTTTGCTTCCATAGTGATTAATAAATTAATACTCCGTATTTTCTACATCGTTCACATAAAGTAACTGGGTAAGAGAAGTATGTAATTCGGTGTAAATTACCCAATTTCCCTGTATCCGGATGGTTTAATACTGTATCTGACCGGGTATTTATTACTCCGTTCATCATGTCTCCCTCCAGGGCTATCTGCAGGAATGACAAATTCTTGACCTCGGGGAAATGGAGGGGCAAGGCGCATTTGAGTGGATATTCGGCATTTTCGGTTTTGGCAGCCCTATTGGACACTTCTCATGCTCCTTCCCATGTGTTAGCTTTGTGGTTTGCAGATCTTGGCGCAAAAGGGGTTGGTCCTCAGCTGAGTCTTGGCCTTCAGCCCTCAGCCCAACGGAGCAGCCGCGTCAGTTGTACCTTAAAAAGACTCATCAATGCCAAAGCTTGTTTCCTTTTTTCAACGGCCAAGAGCAATTGCCAAGTGCTCATTTTCATCTTATTCGTATTCCCTTCTGAATCATAGTTATGCCACCGGGTGGACGAGCTTCCAGAAATTGCGGCAACTGCCGATCTATCAAGCGCAGGGTAAGTGCCTAGAATCAATCTGCTGTCGGATAGGACTCGCTCAATGTTGAGTACTGAGTATTTTGGTATCAAGTGTGACCAGAAGTTTCCCCATTGTGGACAGTGCATTCGTGCGCGCGAAGAATGTCAAGGGTATAGAGATGAATGGGAGCTGGTCTTCCATGATCAAACCACGCACACAATTAAGCGCTCCAAAGAAGCTTGGGCAAAGGCAGGCGGCTTGGAAACATTGAAAAGATCGCCCCCACCCCGCACTTTGAGCATGAGCGAGGACGAGGTGGGCGCCAACTATTTTCTATTTCATTTCGTCGTTGGCGGTCTTTCTCCCTCTCGAGGGTATCTGAACTATGTGCCGGCAGTGTTTAGCGCTGATGGCGAGAATCCGACCTTAATGGCCAGCATGGCAGCTGTGGGTCTTGCAGCCCTGGCAAACTCCACTCAACAGCCTGAATTGTTCCAGCGGGCCCATACAAAATACTGGGAAGCGATAGACAAAGTGAACGCAGCACTCAGTTGCTCGGTCGAATCTATCAAGGACAGTACCTTAATGTCAGTCATCTCTCTTGGCTTGTTTGAGCATGTGAGCGATTTTGAAACATGGTTCCAATATGTAAAAGGAACCGTGGCGCTGGTGGTTTCACGTGGCAAGAACCAATTCTCAAGTCCAGCCTCTATTCCCATGTTCAATCAAGTGCGTGCAGATATGTGCGCTGCCTGTGTTCATCGTCTCGAGCCATTTCCACGAGATATGCTTGAATTGCAAGAAGAGGCAAGCAAGCAGGCCGACAACTCCAGTTGTTTTTGGCTACTAGGACTGCTGGCTACCCGGACTGTCAATCTTCTGTCGGATGTTACGGTGGTCACAATCAAAGATGGTGAAACTTTAGCACACTTCTTGGAAGAATCAGCTGTCCTCCAACGTGACTTCCAAGCCGTTCTTGGTAATTTTAGGACGCAAGAACCGTATACAACGATTGAAGATTACAGTGGAGACCCGGACCTCGTTTACAATTCTCGATATGACCTCTACAGATCCGCGTGGGCTATAAGACTTTGGAACAATTCTCGAATCCTTCAAGTCATTGTCTGCGAGATTGAATTCCACCTTTTGTCGAAAGCCCTCACTGCGGGTCTCCCACCGGCCCGCCGAAAGCAAATAGCAACAACCCTTGAAGCGACATGTCAAATCCTCAAGACTCTGGGTGACGATATTTTGGCCACAGTTCCGCAGTCCTTAGGAGCTGTGTTGCCCCCAACTGAGTCTCCTACTCCTGCCAATTTATCTTCCGATTTATCTGCCAACGCGAGTGCTTCGGGTGGGCATCTGCTAATGTGGTGTTTATACACGGTTGGAAAATCCCCAGTCACCAGAGGCCACACCCGAAAATGGGTTATGAAGCGTCTTAGGGACATTGGTCAAAAATCAGGTCTCCCAATAGCCCTGCAGTTTGTCAATGATATTGATGAGATAGACAAAGCGGCGAGCATGTTAGAGTCTGCCGATAATTGATGACTTGATACATGATTTGTATTGGTAATTTCTATGACGGGAGGCAACTGCGTTCTCTATATTCCAATATCAATTATGCTAGGTAGAACAAGACCATACAGCCATTTATTACTTACAACCATATGATTGAATAATTCATCTCCACGGGCCTCTAGCCATTACAAAAATGAATTGGAGCAAGATAGAAACTACCACGTACGATACTATTACAGCGATTCTGATCAAATGGATTCCTGATCCAAACGAACAAGCCAGGCTTACAAAAAAAAAAAAAGGTTCATGACTGAAACATACATGTTTCGAAAATACCGCTGGATTTAGATTCCGACATTGTGGCTTGCCGTAATATACTGTAGCATTGCATTCCAATCTCGTATGCTTCGGATTTACGAGCAATACGTTAAACTGCTAATCGTCGGTCCTATAGCACGTGTTGCTTCCGATTTATGTCGATGTATCCGCTATGTAAGTAAGCTGTAGACAAAATATCATCAATCCACCATGGAAAATCGGCGAACATATATGTATTTTTTCTGAAAAAAAAAAATCCATTCTGTCCAAAAGTAGAATACAGGACACCCAGGCCAGCCAAAGCGAAAAATCCTACGCAACAAACGGAAGGACCGAAATTGATAATAATGCAAAAGTCTGACAGAAAAGCCCTAAAGCTCATCGATGTTGCATGGTCTCCGACAAGATCCACGACGAGGCCTGTTCCTCCACTTCTTTCTTCTGCACTCGCGCCCTTGCCTACCTGGCTTGCACTTTTTGTGCTTCTGCTCCCCATCTGGCTCCAATGAATCCCCATTACCAAGAGAACCATTTGTGAGAGGGGG